TGTGCAAAATCATTACTGAGAATAAGGATCAGGGTGGGGATGGGAATATGTAGAAACAGGAATGATGATGTACAGGGGGAGGGGCTTAATCATGGAGTTGTACAATTTTATGGGAGGTGAGGAAAATTGGAAGAATCTGTTCTGGAAAACAATGTATTTGAATTTTGCAAATAAACTAGAATAATAATAATAAAGAGCACAGCAGAAACACTCTACATATCACTGAGGCTGATCACATGATACCCGTTATTTTCTATCGTTGTTCCTGATTTCTCTCTCTGTCTACTATTCTGGTTACTTTCCCCATAGGCCTGTTCTCAGCATCTTTCTTTTTCTGTCCCTTCCTCTCTTTTTTCCCTTGTTTTCTCCTTCCTTCTTCTCTCTTACCTCTCTCCCTCTCTTTCTTCCTTCCATTACACTCCCAGCCTTTGGTCACAGCATCTATGTTTCCCCAACGTTTGTTTGTATTTTGTTCAGCTGTTAAGTTAAGCACAGCTCTTGTCTGCAGGTTACAGTGTTCTTCTGTAACTATCATTCCACCATTCTTCTTTGAGAAAAACATCTGCTGCTACTGCTTTGACACCAATTGTCCACTCAGTTCTCTGTAGAGTAGCTGCTGACTCTCATAAGCTTCTCTTAAGTCTTTTCCAACTCAGAGGCTCAAATCCCTGTGGAGCTTTGTGACTCTGGTTTTCCAAACCCTCCACAGGTCTTTATCTTTCTCAAGTCTCCAGGTTTATCTTTATTATTAGTATCATCCTCTTCACATTTTCTCAGTCTTCCTCCATTGCAAACACTTTCTTCTATTATAAACCTGTTTTGACTTCATCTCACTTAAGTCACTTACAGGTGGAGGTTGCCATTTTCACTTCAATTTTCTTTCCTCATTGTTCTAAAAGATCTTGCCTCTCAGTACATCTCTCATCTGACCAATTTAGCACTTTAGTATCTTAGATAATATCCTACTAATGCTTCAGAAAGAAGTTATTTGAGCCCAGGTTAACCAATAGATGTTCTCTTAACAATAGTGTTTAGATGCTTAGAATTCTCGTCCCTTGTTGACACAATTAATTTGCTTCTTCAATACACACACACTTCACTGCCTTTCAAATACTTTTGACTCGTGAATAAAATGTCCACGCTCATGGACTTGGCATGCTCGAGTAGTTCTTTTTAGCCATGTTTATTATCAGTTTGGGGTGTTTCAGTAAGTCAACCTACACAGGCTATCTGTAAATATGAACAATAGGTAGTCAAAGGAACTTTTTTCAATGCAGAGAAAATACTCTCCTTACTCCAGGACACAGTAATTTCTTCGTGTGTGATTGTGTTATTTGATAAAATCTACATGAGAAATTATATCCTTCAAGGGTACTCATCAGATTTTACTGAGATTTACTAAATAGTACTTTCATTATTTTCAGTGTTTAAATTCTGTACCCATTTACCTCCCCCCCGCAAGCCCGACCTGCTAGTAACTAAAGGTGAATGGCATTTTCCTTTCTCCTTTGAACCTCCCACTCCTTGCTAAGTCTGCAAATTCACCAGAGAAATGAAATGAGCATTATTCTCTTCAGTTTTAAACAGAGTACTGTTTTAACTTTGGAGGGAACCCAGGAAGAACCAAGTAGACTATGAAACACAACTTTCTTTCTAACCCCAACCACTTTGCATATATACTTCCAGTTTTTAAGCATGAAGCTTTCAATCCTATCCATTGAAGAGTTTTTTATAGAAAAGTTACATCATCAAATATTTGTCTCTTTAATACCCTGCCATATAGGGCA